CAAGTATATGTTTCCAATTCAGTACCAAATTTATAAAAGAAATTCACTGAACCTTGTGGAAATAAACCTCTTCCTTCCTCACTCAAATTGGTAAAATCCTGCAAGGTTAGAAAGGGCCCAAGGCTAGAGACTTTTCTTCTACAAATCCCATTGACTTTATTGCTAATATATAGTATAATTTATTGCAAATATATAGTATAATGGAGTAAAGGGTGCAGGATATGTGATTGATAGGATATAAAATGTATATGCTATAGTTGATAGAAAGCCATCAAACCAAACTGGAAAATATATTCTTGTTGTTTTCAAACTCTGTCAGTTTTGTTTCTGAACTAAAAGTCATCACCATTTGAAGAACTAACTCATAAACAAATCAGAGAAAAGATTGTCCAGGATGCTGGTAGATCACCACACAGGTAGTTGGATTGCTACAGTTTCATTTACCATTAGTGAACTAAAATCAGTGAGGTTTTAGAAAGTAGCAATAATCAGGAAAATAACAAAAAAACAAGTGTAGCAGCAGAAAGTAGTTGCTTTGTAACCACATGCAAAGGATAGACATTTAGAAGCAAAAAGATGTGTATCTGCCATGTGAGAGGGACTATAGAGAGGGACCAATGAAAGAGGTTTTGCACAGCCTCACCCCAGCCTAGGACATGGGTTGTACACATACCCAAGTGGTCAAATACTGATAGTTCTAAGATGAACACATATTTGAAGTGACTTTGCATAGTTATGCCTTTGAGTTTACAAAACATAGTTAATCATTCATCTAGAATACATTTATTTTCAGTATTTCTTATGAACTTATTAACGGGATAACTAGAAAGCAAGTATTTGGGTCACTGCTTAGTAGAGAAAGGTGCAACCAACACCAGGAAGGACATGGGAGTCCAGAAGACAGTCTGCCAGGCCATATGCCTTGCTCATTCACTTTTTGTGCCTGCTCATTTCCTTCATTTTACTTCCATTCTCCTTGCACAGTAAGAAGTAGAGAAAGTAAAGGATGGAGAAAGGATTGCATTTAATATTCATAGGTTTTGTCGAGACTTGCTCAAGCAAAGAGAATGGCAAAGACAATCTTACATCTTACATCTTTGTCTACTTGCTAATTCTGGCTTCTTTACTCCTTACGGAATCTAGTGTGTCTCTGATAATTCACCTAAGTTTCTTAAGAGGACATCCAGACCACCACATCAGAGCAGAACATAATGAAAGGCTCCTTAGCTGAGTAGCAGTACCCCGTCCCCAAGCAAACCATTTCTCCAGATGAAAGACTGTGGAAATACACTGAAGGCATCAGCAAACCTCCAGGCCCTATAATTCTCTTTCATATATTTAGAAAGCTACTAAAATGACTCAAAGCATGAGTAACTGGCATTGAAATTCCAGTTCACTTCAGAGAAAGGGTGTACAGACCTCATAAGAAAAATTAAATATCAGTGCTTCCATAAAACGCCATTGGAAAGATCTTTATAATATTTGCTTTGTTTGATTTAATTGACAAGTAATATTGCATGCATTAACCATGTGTTAATCTCATATGATACTGTGACAAACATGTACATTGCAGAATTGAAAATTTTGCATACCTTCCCCTCACTTTTCCATTTATGATAAATACTAACCAAATTTTATTGCACAAGCACCTCATTCCAAGGGAGGAAATAATTTTTTAACTGAAATAAACTATGCATTCTAAGTGAACAAATAAGTTTTAATAAAAATGCTAAGAGTAGAATGGGTCAGAAAGCTGCCTGAAGGTACTCTCTCTAGAGCGTGACTAAAGTCGTACGGCATGCCTTTAGATCACAGGCCTAGCATTGATAGCTTATCTTAAAAAATCATTTTCTGCTTTGGGGGAAATCTTTCCATTTATCACAACATCAAAATTGTTTCAATATCTTGAACATTAAAGTAAATGAGTTTAGAAACTTAAAATTGTTATTATGATTTGATTTCCATAACATTTGCTTTTGTTGAAACTATCTGCTTTATGTTTGTCAGGTATATGGTCTTTACTAAATCCCATTGACTTATCTCAAGCTAATTGGCTGTCTCTACCCTTCTATATTAAAGTCCTTGAAGGAAGTAATAGTTCTGAACAACTCAGAATGGCCTTCAGGAGGGAAGTGTCTGTCCTATCTGGTCCCACAGTTGTTCAGATCCAAATACACACAAGGGGCCTATGTTAATTATAAACTGTTTGACTTTCTGCTCATACTTATTATTAACTAGCTCTTACAACTTAAATTAACCTATAATTCTTATCTATGTTTAGCCGTGTGACTTTGTACCTTTTCTCAGGAAGGTATTCTTATCTTGCTTCCTCTGCATCTGGCTTGGACTGCATCTCTCCTTTCCTCTTCCCAGAATTCTTCTAGTCTGGTTACCCTGCCTATAGTTCCTGCCTGGTTACTATTCAATCAGCATTTTTTAAAAAACCAATGTGAGTGACAGATTTTTACAGTGTTCAAGAGCATTATCCCACAGCACCTTGCATCTGAAATGCACCAATTGTTCTGTAAGTTCTGCAGGGTGCGCCAGGTGTCCAAAGTGGAACTCAGGAAACAGACTCAGCTGGTTGGTCCTGGTGGTACCCAGGAAATAGTATAGTGGTTCAGCTCCCTGCTGTTCATGGAGACCAAAATAGTCTTGGAACATTGAATTAAGGCCCTATACCAGAGGCTCTAGAATACCAAATCCCACAGAAATGAGCTGCTTGGTGCTGAATGACTTAGATTTTTAACCGTGCTTGACTGAAAGCCTCTAAGTACAAACTGAAACGTTAAAGGAGTGTACTAGCTTCTGTAAATAAAAAGTCCAGGGAAGCCCTTGCTTCAAGTATTGCAGTCTCTTGTGTTCTTTAAAATCCTCAGGCAGGGGGCTTTGAAAGCCCATTTTCAGAAGAGTTTTCCCAACAACTATAGGCTATAAAACTGTCAGGTTTGATGCCCTATTTAAAAATCTTCCCATGAGGGAGAAAACCTCTAGTTTTTTAATTAGCTCATTTCCAATGTTTATGGAAAAATAACTCAGACCAGATAACATATAAAAAGGAAGAGGTTTATATAAGTCACAACTTTAAAGGCTAAAGTTCCAATCAACATGGCACCAGCTCTGGTGAGAGCCCTTCTTTGAATCACACCTTGCCTATCATGATGTCATGGCAGGCGTTCATGCTAGCAGAAGGTGCCAAATGGCTGGAGGAAGCCCAGAATGGTGATGGGCATTGCTCATTCTTACCCTTTTATAGCATTCTTCTCTCAAGTAACAACCAGGGTTGGAATGACTAGGCCAATTCATTTTGAGGACAAAATCCTGAATCAATAGCCTAAAGATCTCCTGCTACTCTTGTTTCCTAAAAGACCCCTTTACTAATAATAAAGGGAATATATTCACACTGTGAATCTGTGAACCATGTAAAAAATCAAACCACAGTGGCTCCACTAGGCCAGAGGTCATTTCTATTTCCTATTATCTCCATCTCTTAAAATCTTTGTGACCTGAACCAATAGTAGAGCCTACGGCACAGCTCCCAGAGAATGGCAAGGAAGTCATTCTCTAGCATAATTCTAGGGATACTATTACAGAATTTGAGTACATAAATACTAACTGGGAAAAGCAATAGGTGGTAGCTGTGTACAGGATTGTTCTATCATCAATCTAATTTATTATTACAAATGCTTCTGCGTATCATTCCTACCTCATCATTCAACTTTCTGTTTGCATGCAAGACAAACAACACTCCTAGCTATTTAGCCAGAACAGGAAGTGCATTCTATTTTTAACTGAGTGTTCACAATAGATTAATAAACCACAGCCAAAAGCTATATGTCACTCACTTCCTATTGACAAATTAATGGATTGTGGAGCTGAGGTATAGTCACACAATGACAAACTTCTCGGCAATACAAAGGAAAGGACGTTTGATGCATGCAGCCAAAAACTGATTTTGATGACAGTGACTTCACAGATATACATATGTCAAAACTTGCCAAATTGCACTCACTGTGTATAATTTCTTGCATGTCAATGACAGTTCAATAAAGACATTAAAAATAAAGCCAAAAATGTCTTAAATTTCAATCACCACTGGGTGAGGGCTTATTCATCATCACATGCACTTTCCCTACCTCCTGGCATCTGTATTACTTCCCCCTCATACTCACTGCCATTTCCTGGTAGAATATTACCCTTCAGAACGCCAAATATATTCTTTGTACCGTTTCAACTCTACACCTTGAGCAGAGTTCTTATTCTCCTTCTAGAATGATCTACTTTTATCACCACGTTCTTCTTTGAACTTTAAGACAAAATATGGGTTTCTGGAATGCTTTCCACCTTACTTGTCCCTCACCTGCTCTATTTACCAATGAGCATTGCCATGCCCCAGAGCTTCTAGTACAGGGAAGTACCTATGATATGTATCTATACACATGCAAAGGTACACATGTCCTTGTACCACAGTAGTGTTTGATAATTTAAAATCTCTCCATATAGCTAAAATATTCTCTTATATCCAGAGTATCATTATCCACTCTCTGGTAGTTCCCCTTGCCAACTGCACCAATCCCAGCAATTGCTACATTAAAGACAAAGAAACAGATTAAGTATAGCAGTGCACACTTTTGATCCCAGAACCTGAGAGTTAGAGGTAGGAGGTTCATGAGTTCAAGATCATGAGCTCAAACAGTCATGCTGTATAGCAGATTCAAGGCCAGTCTGGGGTACATGAGACTGTCTCAAGTAAATAAACAACACCCACAATTGCCATGTTTTCTATTGTAATAACTATTTTATAGAAAAGATAAGTTGCAATTAGGGAAATTACTATTATCTCATGAGAACTCATTTATAAACGATCAACTGTTACTTTGACAGAGTCCTGGATCTACTCTCAGGGTCTTCCATTACCAAGTGATGTTCTCTTAAGGGAATGACACCGGTCTTTCAGATGGTGTCTCTCATAATCCCTCCACTGTTCTCCTGTTTCCTAGATACACCAAGATGAAGACTGCCACCAACATCTACATCTTCAACCTTGCTCTGGCAGATGCCTTGGCAACCAGTACACTGCCCTTTCAGAGTGTCAACTACCTGATGGGAACGTGGCCCTTCGGAACCATCCTCTGCAAGATTGTCATCTCGATAGATTACTACAACATGTTCACCAGCATATTCACCCTCTGCACCATGAGCGTGGACCGCTATATTGCTGTCTGCCACCCGGTCAAGGCCCTGGATTTCCGTACCCCCCGAAACGCCAAAATTGTCAATGTCTGCAACTGGCTCCTCTCTTCTGCCATTGGTCTGCCTGTCATGTTCATGGCAACCACAAAATACAGGCATGGTAAGCCTGAGCCAAGTCTAGTCTGATGTCTTGGTGATATCCTGAGCCAAGTCTAGTCTGATGTCTTGGTGATATCCTGAGCCAAGTAGAACTCATGGCACAGTATCCTTTGTCAAACTGTACTTTCAATTAAGAAATTGGTTAATTAATTAACTATAATAATAAAATAATAAGAGAAACTAAAATAATAAAAATAAGAAAAGACCTTCAAATACATTGAAATGGGAAGATTTCTCTATAATTACAGGCCTTCTAGGAATTTTAATAGGACCAAGGTCTACATATTGCTGATTTCTCTGAACTTACTTCAACAAAATGTTGAATGCATGGGAGCATAGCTTTTCCGAACATAATTTAAGCTTAAGTCCAGAGAACGCTTTACTGAAACTTGCTCTAAATTCTCAAGCAATTGACAAATTTACCTGTCCTGACTTAACAGCAACTACCATTCCGAAGTGGAGGGGAAAGATTCGTTAGCAGGAAACTCCCGGGAACCTTAGAAAATATAAACTTATAAACTTATAACGTTTATAACAGCATAAATCTCACAAGTGTCTGATTCATCGCAAAACGTACATAACTCTCACTTCATAAAATCTTAATGTGATACACATGGACAGAAAAATGGGAAATGTAGGAAGGGGGAAAGGAAGTAAATTCTCTGTAATCAATAAATGAGTTTCCTTCTTAGTTTCATTCTTTCCTCACAAATCTGTGTAAGCAACAACCTTCACTTAACTCAGGTCAAAGCTATTAGTAGACAAAGGAGCATCTCCAGTACCTAATGCTATAACTAAATGTCCCTGCTAATTTTCCTTGAAAATTCTTTTCTTCCAGGATCCATCGATTGCACCCTCACATTCTCGCATCCCACCTGGTACTGGGAGAACCTGCTCAAAATCTGCGTGTTCATCTTCGCCTTCATCATGCCGGTCCTCATCATCACCGTGTGCTACGGACTGATGATCTTACGGCTCAAGAGCGTGCGCATGCTGTCGGGTTCCAAGGAAAAGGACAGGAACCTGCGCAGGATCACCAGGATGGTGCTGGTAGTCGTGGCCGTGTTTATTGTCTGCTGGACCCCCATCCACATCTACGTCATCATCAAAGCCCTGATCACGATTCCAGAGACCACCTTCCAGACGGTTTCCTGGCACTTCTGCATCGCCCTGGGTTACACCAACAGCTGCCTGAACCCTGTTCTTTATGCATTCCTGGATGAAAACTTCAAGCGCTGCTTTAGAGAATTCTGCATCCCAACCTCCTCAACGATCGAACAGCAGAACTCCACTCGAGCCCGTCAGAACACTAGAGACCACCCCTCCACGGCTAACACAGTGGATCGAACTAACCATCAGGTATGTGCTTTCTAGACTTACAGATAGCTTATTAAAAAAATACATCACCTGGTAGCAATCCAATATTTAAAACTTTTAGGAGATCAGTTACCAGTTACTGGGGAAATTGAGGCCAGGCCCAAGAAGAGAGGGAGGAGGGGACCAAGTTCTCATCGTGATGTCAGAAAGATGTGTCACATATACTTACATGTTTATTTAGGTATAAAAATATGATGACCCACCATCTATCAAGCTGCAAAAAGTTGCTATCCCCCTAGCCTTGTCTTCTTTGCAAAATTAATGACTGTAATACATCATAGATGTAATTCTACTTTGGAGTACTTGTTTCAAATAGAAACTTCCATATCCCAACAATATCACACTAATATCTCTGTCACTTAAAAGCCAACCACACTCCAATTCTGTTGTTAAAGAGCCTTGTCTGCTGTGGTCATAAATACAGGATATTCCCAAAAATCAATGTCATGGAAAAGGACAAAAGAGAAAAACAAACCAAAGTATACCCATATCTGTATTTGTTAAGGCTTTGGTTTGTAATAACTGGTGTCTGAACACTAGAGCAAATGCCAGCATATTGCTAACTATTAGGTTAGAAATCTGTTTTAAACATCGTCCATACTATTTAGAAATTATTTAAGAGTGATTAGATGTTTGGACATGTGTTCCTTTCTATGTCCAGGAGAGTCCCAGGAAGATCCAAGATTTACCCATGATATTATAACCATACAAGAAATGAAGAAGTTATCTCCAATACTCTCAGAACTTCCTAACTCACCACTTTGCAATAATTTGACATCTAACCTAAAACGTCAGTACACGTATGACTTAATTTTCAATAAATTTTAAATAAGTGTTCCAAAATGCTTCCCCACACCTGAAAAAAAATCCACAGCATATGAAATTTTATAACATGGAACTGGAGTTCATGACTTCTGTGAAATAAATGCTTGGGTCAAAATTTTGGGTCAAGTTTATATTCTCAAGGGGCAGGGCTATGAGAACAGCAGCTTTTTACAAAAGACTTCAGAGTCCAGCAGTTCAGCCCAAGGAAGGCCTGACCACCACAGTGGTAGCTATTCCTACTTGCTGTCTCTTCCTCATACCCATCTCTCCATGTCCCTTTTCACCCCAACTGCGACTACCCAGCCTAGCCAAGGCTTCATCTTTCTAACAACGTCATAGTTATGTTATACAACCTAGATGAATCGGCCTCAGGAGACATGGAATCCCCATACCTAAATGAGACACGTGGCTAACATAAAACATGTGAGCCAGTTCCCCTGGAGAGCATGTGGTAATGGTGGCAGATTCATTCCCGTCGCAAAAGCACATATTAACAAATTTATGTCCCTGTTTCCAGCTCGGAAATCAAAGTCATAAAGAAATGGGTTTCTGCTCTGCTTCCCCACCTCCCCACGTCTCCCTCTCATTGTTATCCACACTGACATATAACCTGTTCCTTTTTCTAAGCAGTCCTTCATGTTTCATGGCTTTCAAACTCTTGTGCGTCACTTTAAAAGGGTTAAGGATTTAAAATGATTTTTTCTTCTCCAACCCATGGGTAGCCTGTTAGAGGACAGAATTTGAAACTACCTGTCCCAAGCTAGGATTCAAATCCTTTGCATTGAAATAGTTTACTTTCAGTACAGAAAAGGATGGAAATAGGGAAGCTTGGGCTCTTCCTCCCTTCCCCAAGTGCCATGCTGGTTCTTTCTTCCCAAGCTTACAAGGGCATGGCTGATTGGTAGCTTACTGTAGGACACTGTTGGGCCTTCTGTCCCTGCCTGACCCACACTGACCTTCCTCTAATGGAAGCATAGCCCCCAATCTCTCCAGTTTAGCCCCTACCTGACTTACACAAGACTGCTGTTCAGCTTCTCCAAGACAGCCTTTGACTCCCTTCCAAACCCAGTGATTGCACATCAGTGTGGTTCTTGCACAGCCAGAGAAGAGAAGGGAAGCTAATTGGAGAAGTTCTGTCCAAAGTAACTAAAAGGATTGCTTTAGAAATACATCCAATTAGCACTTATCGTTATCACTGCCTCTGTGGAGCGGCGTCAGCATCAGATAACAGGGAAGCACATTAGCCTGGAACTGGCTGCTTCCCAGAGGCCCAGCTGGGAGAACTGGACCAAGAAGAGAAACTGCAAGGAGCAGAAAAGATGCTCTGACATATTTGAAAATTAACAGAAATCAAAGCTGTTTTCACCCATCTCTCTTTAGGGTTGAGGCAGTCATGTGAAGATGTCTGGGACAATAGAAAATCCTATGGTGGATATTTTCAGGCAACCATTTCAACCAGATCTAAAGGAGGTCTGACTACGTGGCTCTGTCTATGTGAATCATTAGATTAGCTCAAACAGAGTCCAAATCTGATGAACAGGTATTCATCAGATCTGTTGTGAGGAGGCTGCTAGTTTGTTTCCCGGCCACCTGGCAGCTCAGACCCAAAATGATCACACAGAAACTATATTATTTAAAACACTGCTTGGCCCATTTGTTCTAATGTCTTATTGGCTTACACTTATATCTTAATTTAACCCATTTCTAGTAATCTGTGTATCACCACATGACTGTGGTTTACCGGGTAAAGTTCCCACCATCTTTCTCTGGCGGAGCTACATAACTTCTCTCTCTCTCTCCACCTTCGTTCTCCTGACATTCAGTTTAGTTTTCCCTGCATAGCTAAGTTCTGCCCTGCTATAGGTCCAAAGCAGTTGTCTATTAGCCAATGATATTCCCAGAATACAGAGGGAAATCCCACATTAGTGTTACTGTGGGTTTTGTGTTTATTCATTCATTTGTTTATAAAATACTCTTCTTGTTAGAAAATAAGACTTACTGGATTGGCATAAACTTTTTAGTTAGAAGTATGAGTAGTTTGCCGTGGTGATCAATGTTTATGTTCTGTCTGTTTGTGTTTTCTCCAAAAAAATATATATTATATTCCACGTGTCACACGCCAAGCACACTAGTCAACTTCCCATTCTGCAGACCAGAGATCCAATGTCAAACCTCCCGAGAGTGTCTGTATTTTGACAGCTATGCGCTGAGGCCATGTCCACACAGCACAAAGTGAAGTGACGATGTGGCAGTTACCAAGGTAATTTGATAAGCCATACAAGAAATTTCTATGCCTGGCATAAATTTGGAGTCACACGTTCTAGCTGAAGGCATCTAATTAAGCTTTTCTTGTACAGCAAAATATTCCAAAACCTAGAGTCTAGAAACCGCCATCTACATAGAGTATAATTGTGTCATGCATCAGTACGTTGGGCCAGGCTTGCCTGTGCTGTCAGTTTTAGCTGTTCTCACTCATGCCAGTCCCTGCTGGGGCTATGAGCCCCCTGATCTAAGAGGAGTGGCTGGATCCATAGACTTATCCTCTAGAATGCTGTCTTAAGCTTGCCTTCATCATGGCCACAGGTTCTGAAGAAGAGAAAAGCAAACAGACCTCTTCAGGTCTGGTGACAGAAATAGACAGTGTCCCGGGGAGATGACTCAGTGGCGAAAGTACTTGCTACACAGGCATGAGGACCAGGGTTTAGATATCCAGAACCCATATGAATACTGAGGGGCAGGGAGCCACAGCCTGCCTATGGCTGCAACCCTCAGAAAGCATGAGATGGTTATCTCTAGAGAAAGCTGGCTAGAGAAACCAGCTGTGTTAGTGACCTCTTGGCTCAATCAAGAGAGCCTACTTCAATTAGTCATATGGAAAGTAATCAAGAAAGACCCCCAATATCAACCTCAGGCCTCTGCATGCACGCATATCCACCCACACTTATATAACTCTTAAAGTAAATGACAAAGTTACATCCGTGCTTCCTATGAATCAAACAACCCATCAACCTAGATTTGAATGGGGGAGAAGGGGTCTAACTCCTGAAGACAGGAACTCTGGTCATCTTGTGAAGAGATAGAGAGAGGGAAGAGATAAAGTCACTGTGGTCACAGTTGTTCAGGCTGGAGTAAACAGCCACCCCATTGCTTCTGAGAGCAGGCACGCATCCATCTTGCTTCTTCTTGTACCTCTGTTATCTATGTAGCCCAGTCCATGAAACATTAAAAAACACTCCACAGATATCTACAGAATGGCTGAGTAAGGGGAGAGTTGTGGTATTTTGTAGAGAGAAGTATATGGAACACATCTTTCTTATATAACCAACTGTAACTCAAATGACACTGTAACACTGAAATTTGGGGTCCACCCTTCAGAAACAATGAGCAGTAGGCATTCTCCTCCCTAGCCCATGGTATTCTAAACATAACCTAGACTTTGCAAATTGTCTTCTAATTTAATTTTAACAAGATACTTTAAAAGACCAAGACTTGGATTCACTGCCCTGAAGAAGTCTTGCTGTTACTGAGAATGGGGAGAGGGTAATGTTCTCCTCTGGACTTTGTTCATCCCAGGTTCAGCTTCCTGTTCCCTCTGTAGCACCCATGGTGGCTTTATATTCAGTGTGTCGCCTTTATGGACTTTTTTATCTTGATTAGGTGGGGCCCAATGAAAGCATTTATGTTCCATCTGTTCCTGTTACAATTGAGTTTCCCCACCCACGTAGCATCCTGCTGTCCTGCTGCACTGGACAGAACACTTGCCACTATGAACTGCATGTAACATGAGTCCCGTTCAGACCTGAAATGGCACTATCCACTGAGGGCTTTTCCTGCCTGATTTCTACCCAACCTTACCCTTTAAGGCATTTTATACTTGATATCTGTGTGATTTTGAAAATGTTTAACATCATATAAGGAGAGGGGGTGACTCTGTTAGGTTAACGTGGCTATTATTTAAATACAACAACAATAACCATAAAAGAATGCTATGATGCTTTCCTATACCAACATACAAATTAAAAGATGATTGTGTGTGGTCCAGCACATCTCTTTGCCATAGCATCTCTGACAGATAAAAAAAGAGAGGACAAATGCTCGTGGACATTAAATACAATACCCAATAATCAGTAACAGGTGCACTCTAGACAAGAACCATG